GGGTTGGACTCCGCCAGGGCTGCCCTTTGTCACCGGTTCTGTTCATCACTTTTATGGACAGAATTTCTAGACGCAGCCGTGGTGTGGAGTGTGTCGAGTTTGGTGGCAGGAGAATCTCGTCTCTGCTTTTTGCGAATGATGTGGTCCTCCTAGCTTCATCCAGCTCTGACCTTCAGCTCTTGCTGGGTAGGTTCGCGGCCGAGTGGTAAGCGGCTGGGATGAGGATCAGCATCTCCAAATCTGAGATCATGGTTCTCGACCGGAAAAGGGTGGTTTGCCAACTCTGGGTCGGGAGAGAGGTCCTACCTCAAGTGGAGGAGTTTAAGTTTCTCGGGGTCTTGTTCACGAGTGAGGGTAGGAGGGGTCGGGAGATCGACAGGCGGATTGGTTTAGCATCTGCAGTGATGCGGACGCTGAGCCGATCTGTCGTGGGGAAGAGGGAGCTGAGCCAGAAAGCCAGGCTCTCGATTTATCGGTCGATCTACGTCCCAATCCTCACCTATGGTCATGAGCTTTGGGTAATGACCGAAAGAACGAGATCGCGGATACAAGCGGCCGAAATGAGTTACCTCCGTAGGGTGGCTGGGCACAGCCTTAGAGATAGGGTGAGGAGCTCGGACATTCGGGAGGGACTCGGAGTAGAACCGCTGCTCCTCCGGATCGAAAGGAGTCAGTTGAGGTGGTTTGGGCATCTGGTCAGGACGCCTCCTGGTCGCCTCCCCGGGGAGGTGTTTCGGGCATGTCCTGCCGGTAGGAGGCCACCGGGTCGACCCAGGACACATTGGAGAGGTTACATCTCCAATCTGGTCCGGGAACGCCTTGGGGTCCTGCCGGAGGAGCTGGTGGACGTGGCCGGGGAGACGACGGTCTGGAGCTCCCTAGTTGGGATGCTGCCCCCGCGACCCGGACCCGGACCCGGATAAGCAGAGGAAGACAACGACGATTTCAATCAGCACAGTGAATTAACCTGGTTCAGTTGCTGAGCAGAACAAAAACATGACATGGAGATGACTTGATGATGCCACAATGTCACATCTCTGGTATGAACTGAAGTAGAGAATAACTTCTGTTTTATTTGTGTTGCATTGTAAGTAGAGGAAAGCAGGTGGGTTTGTGAAAGACAAAAACCTTTCCACAACTATATTGTCAAAATAACGGTATAGGTAGGTACAATATCATATCTGTTTCTAAAAATATCGGGGTATTGGCCAACCGTAGTTATGATAATTTGACTTGTACACCGAAAATGTCCTTGAAAAGTCCTGGAAAATCATTTCAAGAAAAGAGTGGGAACCCTGAGGGTTGTTCCTGGCTCAGACTGAGGCAGAGGTGGTTCCTTCCTGACCGTGCGCCAGCACATGCGTACTCTGTGCATTCAACTGCCTCACTTTTTTAAATTCATTTCAGTTCAAGTTTATTTATAAAGCGCCAAATCACGACAAGAGTCGTCTCAAGGCACTTCACATAATAAACATTCCAATTCAGGTCAGTTCATTAAGCCAATCAGAAATAATGTTTCCTATATAACGAACCCAGCAAATTGCATCAAGTCACTGACTAGTGTCAGTGACTTGATGCAATCCTCATACTAAGCAAGCATTAAGCGACAGTGGAGAGGAAAACTCCCTTTTAACAGGAAGAAACCTCCAGAGAATCCCGGCTCAGTATAAGCAGCCATCCTCCACGACTCACTGGGGATGGAGAACACACACACACACACACACACGCGCACACAAAGGCCAAATATGTTATCGTTAAGTGTTCTAATCTAAGCTTCTGTTGATATTCCATTTGACAACATTTCAAGTGGAACAAAACTGGTTTGCTGCTAAAAAATATGAAATAAAACAACAAAATGTCAGGCTGAATAACATACTCTTATTGTGAAAGGCTCAATAATATGCATCAGATTGGTGTTTAGTTCCTTTTTCCATCTGATATTTATAGTTAAAATATTTGTATATATTTGACCTACATTTCAGTAACATTTTAGGTTTGTATTAATAACGCTCATCTTAGTCTAAATGACACATAAATATATGCAGTAAAATATAATGTATTTCATTAACATGCATTTGTGTTGGAAATGCTAATAACATGTAATTTCTGCTGCTAGCAATGTAATGGTGGCATGTCTGTTATGTACGGGTTGCAATAATCCAGTTCAAATTATGTTCAAAGATAGAAGCGTTTGTGAATTATATAGTACAACGGCTTGCCATAGACTTGTAGCAGTCATGTGACCCGTATCTGCAGCGGTTCTGATCCGTAGCGCTGCAGGATGCAGAATAAACAGGATGGTGGGGACTTTTTATCCGCTTGTAGAGTTTAGTCTTTCTTGGTTTCACCATCATCATCATCATCATCATCATATATTTTTCTGTGCGCCAGTTGATCGTGAGACTGCTACCCGTTAGCATTAGCATTAGCCAGTCTGCGTGTAGCTGCACTTTTGATCCCAGACTTTGGACCGGTCCTGCCTTTGTGCCTTTGCTGGTTCCTTTATTTTCCTCCACTGCATCCAGATGACCGCACTGTGCACCAGTAAAAAGCATTTTCTTACACGTAACTTCCTTTTGTTCAATAAAGTTCTGGGGAAAATAGTAATTCAAAGATGTTGCACCAGTGCTACGTTTAAAATAGACAGACACGCACAGACAGGTACAGCCCTGCTCCGATATGGAAGAGCCTGGGGGAAAATCAGGACGTTAATAGCACCAACCATAGATATGTACCACCTAGCGAGAAAAGCTATTTTTGATCTTTGTCTGCAGCGGTTTTAGCGCTTTTCAGTGCACCGCTGCTGATACAGCGCCCTGTAGTGGTGCAAGGCTGCAACTACAGTTAAAATAACATCCATATAGCTGGGGGCAGAGTGAAATCAGGCTGGGGCGGCACAACATTAGCTGGAGGCGGCCGCCACGCTCATTTGAACGCAGGAAAAACTCTGAAGTATAACATTGTTAGCAGATAACTGATCTTTCATGAAGAAACAATGTTAATAATGTTTAATTTTAATATTAATTTTATTTCATTTCTACGGCCTGGACGTCTGTGACCATTACTGAGTTTTCTGATTGGTGTGAATAATACACAATATTATTAATAACAGGTCTGGATGTGGTTTGGTCTGAGGTCTAAAACTCTGTCCTGGGCCTAAAGCCCTGCAGATAAATGTAGAAACACTGCGAACAAAGACACCGCCTGCGCCAATACGAGGTCAGACAGCAAGTACTGATGCAACCTGGTGCTGATGTCTCTGTGATAGAAAATTACAGGCCTATCTCTACCCTGCCTTTCACATCAAAACTGCTTGAGAAAGTCGTTTATCAGCAGCTGGTCTCACATTTAGCTGACTCTGATCTGTTTGAGGTTTTCCAATCAGGGTTCAGGTCTGGCCATAGCACAGAGTCGGCTCTACTGAGGGTCCTAAATGACATCTATCTATCACTAGATCAGGGAACATCTGTGCTGCTTCTGTTATTAGATCTGACAGCAGCCTTCGACACAGTTGACCACGCGATTCTACTGGATCGCTTGGAACGTTGGGTTGGGATCAAAGGGTCAGCTCTGGACTGGTTTAGATCGTATCTCCACAACAGGACATTCTGTGTTAAACTGGGTGATGTTTTTTCTTCTTGGGAGGGGCTCCGCTGGGGGGTCCCGCAGGGATAGATCCTTGGTCCCCTTTTGTTTGACATTTATCTGCTACCTCTGGGGTCAATCTTTCGTAAACATGGCCTATCATTCCATCTCTATGCTGACGATTGCCAGATTTACTCTCCATTGTGTCAAGAGAAAGGTCACTCTATCCAGTCCTTTGTGTCCTGTCTTAATGAGGTGAAGTCTTGGCTAATGGCCAACTTTCAACATCTGAATGAGGGAAAGACAGAGCTCATTGTTTTTCACCCCAACAGCCGGGCTGGGGGTCGTTATGTTGATCTTGGCCCTCTTTCTCCCTACTCAAAACCAGTTGTTACCAGTTTGGGGGTGAAACTTGATGCTGGACTTAAATTTGATGCTCACATCAATTCTGTGATCCGGTCCAGTTTCTTTCACCTGAGACGCCTTGCAAAAATCAAGCCCATGCTGTCGAGAGCCCACCTGGAGCGGGTACTGCATGCTTTTGTTATTTCTAGGCTTGACTACTGCAGCTCTCTATATGCAGGGTTGTGTCAGTCATCACTGCGTCGCCTACAGGTTGTGCAGAACAGCACAGCCAGGTTCCTGACTGGGACCAGGAAACGGGACCACATCAGTCCGGTTCTGGCCTCTCTGCACTGGCTTCCGATTTGCTATCGTTCACACTTCAAAATCCTCGTCTTTGTTTATCATTTCTTCCAGGGTGGTCCCCCCCTATCTGGCCACACTCCTGAACAGACACTCCCCATCACGAGCTCTGCGCTCCTCTGACCAAGGCTTGCTCGCTGTCCCTCGTTCTAGGTGTTGTACTCGCGGGGACCGGGCTTTCTCAGTCCTAGCACCGTCACTCTGGAACCAGTTGCCACCCTCAGTTAGGCTGTCCCCTTCTCTGCCAGTCTTTAAGAGTCACCTGAAAACCCACCTCCTCCGCTTGGCGTTTCCTGAACATGTTTGAATTTGGCCCTCTTTTATGTTGAATCCATTCCACAGTTTTCATTGGTACACTCAATCCCTTGTTTTACCCATCTGTCTTCTACTAGAATGTTTTACCTTTTTTTGTAATTAGAATTGCTTTTATTTTCGATTTATTCACCATATTTAACTTTCTCTTGTACCATGTTCAGCGCCTTGGGCTTCCCGACAGGGTTGCGGAAGGCGCTTTATAAATAAAGCTTTGATTGATTGATTGATTGATTGATTGATTGATTGATTGAAGTATATCACGGCCCTTACTCTCTAAAGTCTCGCCTTCAGCCTGCTGACATCACCCTTCAGCTGGCTTCTGATTGCTTGGCTTGTATCACAGCTGTTGAACCTTGAAACAGCCCTATGACCTTACTTTCTGTCTGCATGCTTAGGTCCTGTGACAAATGCCGTCATCATGGTGGTTTCAGCCAATATGTTCCTGCCCGACAGTCGGCCTGCTATCCCCCTGCCCCGCTTCAGCAGACACCTGCATACCTCTGAGGGCAGCGGAGAGGAGTTGGGGGAGGTGTGTGTCCGCCCTGGCCTTCATGCACAGGTGAGTGCAAGTGGTCACACCAATCAGGAGAATGGAGAGGATGATGTGAGAACAAGTACCACATATGCTACCTTGGGCTGTGCTGACTTTGGTCCTCTGCATCATATTCATGACATGAAAATGTTGAGTGCAGGTTTAATGGGACTATATCATTTAAAGGAGAGGCGTCCAAACTTTTTCCCTCAGAGGGCCAAAATGAAAATCTATTAGAGGGCTGCGGGCCAAATGTAATAAAATTTATAGTCAATAATAAAAGTATAATCAATATTTATTAAACTCTTCTGTAAGGAACACTTACCAAAAGATGACAAATGTCACTTATAAGTATTTCGAAAAGAAAATAAGAACTTCTGTCTGTAATTATAATCATTCGTAGTGTAAAGTGTCCGCATGTCTGCCCAACAGTAACACAACAGTAACACAACAACAGCAACACAACAGTAACACAACAACAGCAACACAACAGTAACACAACAACAGTAACACAACAGCAACACAACAACAGTAACACGACAACAGTAACACAACAGCAACACAACAACAGTAACACAACAACAGCAACGCAACATTAACACAACAACAGCAACACAACAGTAACACAACAACAGCAACACAACAGTAACACAACCACAGCAACACAACAGTAACACAACAGCAACACAACAGTAACACAACAGCAACACAACAACAGTAACACAACAGTAACACGACAACAGTAACACGACAACAGCAACACAACAGTAACACAACAACAGTAACACAACAACAGTAACACAACAGCAACACAACAACAGTAACACAACAACAGTAACACAACAGCAACACAACAACAGCAACACAACAGTAACACAACAGCAACACAACAGCAACACAACAGCAAAACAACAGTAACACAACAACAGTAACACAACAACAGTAACACAACAGCAACACAACAGCAACACAACAACAGCAACACAACAGCAACACAACAGCAACACAACAGTAACACAACAGCAACACAACAACAGCAACACGACAGTAACACAACAGCAAAACAACAGTAACACAACAACAGTAACACAACAGCAACACAACAACAGTAACACAACAACAGCAACACAACAACAGCAACACAACAACAGCAACACAAAGACAGTAACACAACAGCAACACAACAACAGCAACACAACAGCAACACAACAGCAAAACAACAGTAACACAACAACAGTAACACAACAGCAACACAACAACAGTAACACAACAGCAACACAACAACAGTAACACAACAGCAACACAACAACAGTAACACAACAGCAACACAACAACAGTAACACAACAGCAACACAACAACAGTAACACAACAGCAACACAACAACAGTAACACAACAGCAACACAACAACAGTAACACAACAGCAACACAACAACAGTAACACAACAGCAACACAACAACAGCAACACAACAACAGCAACACAACAACAGCAACACAACAACAGCAACACAACAGTAACACAACAACAGTAACACAACAGCAACACAACAACAGTAACACAACAACAGCAACACAACAGCAATACAATAGCAACACAACAACAGCAACACAACAACAGTAACACAACAGTAACACAACAACAGTAACACATCAGCAACTCAACAACTGTAACACAACAACAGCAACACAACAGTAACACAGCAGCAACACAGCAGCAACACAACAACAGTAACACAACTGCAACACAACAACTGCAACACAACAACAGCAACACAACTGCAACACAACAACAGTAACACAACAGCAACACAACAACAGTAACACAACAGTAACACAACAGCAACACAACAACAGCAACACAACAGCAATACAATAGCAACACAACAGCAACACAACAACAGTAACACAACAGTAACACAACAACAGTATAACATCAGCAACTCAACAACTGTAACACAACAACAGTAACACAACAGCAACACAACAGTAACACAGCAGCAACACAACAACAGTAACACAACTGCAACACAACAACTGCAACACAACAACAGCAACACAACAACAGCAACACAACAGTAACACAACAGTAACACAACAACAGTAACACAACAGCAATACAACAGCAACACAACAACAGTAACACAACAGCAACACAACAACAGTAACACAACAGCAACACAGCAACAGTAACACAACAGCTACACAACAACAGCAATACAATAGCAACACAACAGCAACACAACAACAGTAACACAACAGTAACAAAACAACAGTAACACATCAGCAACTCAACAACTTAACACAACAACAGTAACACAACAGCAACACAACAGCAACACAACAGTAACACAGCAGCAACACAACAACAGTAACACAACTGCAACACAACAACAGCAACACAACAACAGTAACACAACAGCAACACAACAACAGTAACACAACAACAGTAACACAACTGCAACACAACAACTGCAACACAACAACAGCAACACAACAGTAACACAACAACAGTAACACAACAGCAACACAACAACAGTAACACAACAGCAACACAACAACAGTAACACAACTGCAACACAACAGCAACACATCAGCAAAACAGCAACACAACAACAGTAACACAACAGCAACACTACAGTAACACAGCAGTAACACAACAACAGTAACACAACTGCAACACAACAACTGTAACACAACTGCAACACAACAACTGTAACACAACTGCAACACAACAACTGTAACACAACTGCAACACAACAACTGCAACACAACAACTGCAACACAACAACAGTAACACAACAACAGCAACACAACAACAGTAACACAACAACAGCAACACAACAACAGTAACACAACAACAGCAACACAACAACAGTAACACAACTGCAACACAACAACAGTAACACAACAACAGCAACACAACAACAGTAACACAACAGCAACACAACAACAGTAACACAACAGCAACACAACAGCAATACAATAGCAACACAACAGTAACACAACAACAGTAACACTACAGCAATACAATAGCAACACAACAGCAACACAACAACAGTAACACAACAGCAACACAACATCAACACAACAGCAACACAACAACAGCAACACAACAGCAACACAACAACAGCAACACAACAACAGTAACACAACAGCAACACAACAACAGCAACACAACAACAGTAACACAACAACAGTAACACAACAGCAACACAACAACAGCAACACAACAGCAACACAACAACAGTAACACAACAGCAACACAACAACAGCAACACAACAACAGTAACACAACAGTAACACAACAGCAACACAACAACAGTAACACAACAACAGTAACACAACTGCAACACAACAACAGCAACACAACAACAGCAACACAACAGTAACACAACAACAGTAACACAACAGCAACACAACAACAGTAACACAACAGCAACACAACAACAGTAACACAACTGCAACACAACAGCAACACATCAGCAACACAACAACAGCAACACAACAACAGTAACACAACAGCAACACAACAGCAACTCAACAACTGTAACACAACAACAGTAACACAACAGCAACACAACAGTAACACAGCAGTAACACAACAACAGTAACACAACTGCAACACAACAACTGTAACACAACTGCAACACAACAACTGTAACACAACTGCAACACAACAACTGTAACACAACAACAGCAACACAACAACAGTAACACAACAACAGCAACACAACAACAGTAACACAACTGCAACACAACAACAGTAACACAACAACAGCAACACAACAACAGTAACACAACAGCAACACAACAACAGTAACACAACAGCAACACAACAGCAATACAATAGCAACACAACAGTAACACAACAACAGTAACACTACAGCAATACAATAGCAACACAACAGCAACACAACAACAGTAACACAACAGCAACACAACAACAGCAACACAACATCAACACAACAGCAACACAACAACAGCAACACAACAGCAACACAACAGCAACACAACAACAGCAACACAACAGCAACACAACAACAGTAACACAACAGCAACACAACAACAGCAACACAACAACAGTAACACAACAGCAACACAACAACAGCAACACAACAACAGTAACACAACAGTAACACAACAACAGTAACACAACAGTAACACAACAACAGTAACACAACAGCAACACAACAACAGCAACACAACAGCAACACAACAACAGTAACACAACAGCAACACAACAGCAACACAACAACAGTAACACAACAACAGTAACACAACAGCAACACAACAACTGCAACACAACAACAGTAACACAACTGCAACACAACAACTGCAACACAACAACAGCAACACAACAACAGCAACACAACAGTAACACAACAACAGTAACACAACAGCAACACAACAACAGTAACACAACTGCAACACAACAGCAACACATCAGCAACACAACAGCAGCAACACAACAACAGTAACACAACAGCAACACAACAGCAACTCAACAACTGTAACACAACAACAGTAACACAACAGCAACACAACAGTAACACAGCAGTAACACAACAACAGTAACACAACAACAGTAACACAACTGCAACACAACAACTGTAACACAACTGCAACACAACAACTGTAACACAACTGCAACACAACAACTGTAACACAACAACAGCAACACAACAACAGTAACACAACAACAGCAACACAACAACAGTAACACAACAACAGCAACACAACAACAGTAACACAACAACAGCAACACAACAACAGTAACACAACTGCAACACAACAACAGTAACACAACAACAGCAACACAACAACAGTAACACAACAGCAACACAACAACAGTAACACAACAGCAACACAACAGCAATACAATAGCAACACAACAGTAACACAACAACAGTAACACTACAGCAATACAATAGCAACACAACAGCAACACAACAACAGCAACACAACATCAACACAACAGCAACACAACAACAGCAACACAACAACAGTAACACAACAGCAACACAACA